GGATGAGGTCTTGTAAGTCAGTTTCTGGACAGCACTCTCCCCCTGTTTGCTTTTGTCAGTCATAAAGAGGCTCAGATATTTAGCCTGTTATGTAACCAGTCAAACCTCCTTCGATATATCAGTATAGGGGGGAGTTTATCAGTATAGGTTGAATGTTTTATGACCTGTACTGCAGCCAGTCAGTAAATGTTTTAGCTTCACCTTTGGGGAGCAGTCATGTCATCCATCTTTATATGCAGCTTAGCGTCAAGACTAATAAAATGATCACATTCGGTTTCATTTCTAAGAAAAATAGTCTGACTCGATGGTGGCTCTCGTCCAACGCCTGATTATCAAGAACTGTTGGTGCGGCTGCTTTCCCACATCACTCTGCATTTCCTTCCCTCCAGATACACTATCAATGAGCGCTCAAGGTGTTTCATTTTAGCAAGAGCCAGGAGCAGATAAGGCTGAGATTACTCTGGCACTATCTCCAGAGGAGGCCGGCGAAAGGGAGAGATATACAAGAAAGTGTGCGACGCTAATTACCACACACTGCTGTTTGCATGGGGTGAAGGCCAGATCACATTTGTATCCATGGAGTCTGGTTGTATTGCAGTTATAGCAGCTTGCAAACGGATTTCTTTAATGCAATCCTTCTCCTTTTTTCATGAGCATTTTAAAATGAAATTAGTCTCTATTTATAGTAAAATCCTGCTTAGATTTCCTGGTGTCTGCATGCTTTCTGCCCTTAGTTTACTGGTGAAACCACTGGAAGCCACTGTGGGATATCAAGGAGGTGTGAAAGAGTCAGAGCAGCGAATTTAAGCCCGTCCTTCTGAGGGTGTCAGAGCCTTGATAAGTCCTGTTTAAACTTTACCCTTCACGAAATGCAATGTGTCAATAGCCGCCCGTGGCAAAAGTGCTCTGATCTGGTTGGGTAAATACCCGAAGCCCATCCTTTTTCCATGAGACCTCGGCTCAAAGTCGCGGAGGGAGATTGCCAGAAATTAACAAAGTGCGATTTCGACAAAAGGAAGCAACGGTGGAAGGAAAGCAGCTGGGAGGAAAGTTCAGATGGTTCGCCGACGGAATTTTCTCAGTTCTGGATCTTGCAGTCTTCTGCCATGTCTGGGGCAGTTGGCAGTAGTAGCGGAAAGTCTCAGACAGGTGTTATGTCGGTTGTGAGTGGTTGAAGCACCTCTGACTCCCATTCCTCAGCTGACATTATTTGTCACTCAAAGAAGTCCCCTAAATCTCTGCGTCTGATTGCACTTTTTGATTTTTTTGCACACGTGGATCTTAAAATTTTAACCAAAGTTACTTTCAAGATTGAATCAAAGTTTTCCCAACAATTCACTCAGTTGAAAATGCATTTTAATAAACTTTACCCTCAATGGAAGGAAAGAGTTTAAAGACTCATATACTTACTGTCATTGCACACACACTTTAAGTTTCTAAAATAGAGGGCCGGCCTGCTCAAACATTTGCAGTGGAATCTGAGCGAACGAGAAGAGGTGGAAGACATGATTTGGCAGTTTACCCTCAGTGTTTGCCTCAAAATTTTGACGCCATGGCTCGAAGTCAAGCTGAGAAGTTTCCCAAGACCTGCTTGGCCTGCAGGCGGGTGTTCCATGTAAGCAGGGAGCCCGGAGCCTCCCCACTGAGGATCCGCGCTCCCCCCTCCTCCCCCACTCCCCCCTGACCGTCAGTTAGACAGTCTGCAGGGCACCTCAGGACTGCGGGGGCGCGAAGATGTCCGACCACAGCCTGTGATGCCTCTGTGTTAGCCGTCGGTGGGTTTCCTCCTCTGCATGTCGAGACCAGACGACTTTACAAGCTCAGCCATCCCAAATGGCAGCTGACCTGCAACAAAACAAAGCACAGAAAACAAAATGAAATCACTACAGACTCTCATCTTGTTGTGTATCGGAGGGTTAAATCAAGAAACTCTTAATTTAAGGAAATGCATCAAGAGGTTTTAGTCCAACAGCAGAGTCAGGTCGCTCCAAAGTGTTAAAGAAAACAGAATAATTACACCTCACTACTGACAAGGGAACAAAAATTACTATAACACCTTTCCTTTTTTTCCACTCACCTCTCTCTCTCACCCACACGAACACTGGAAAAACGTCTTTTTTTCCCCCTTAAATTGTATGTAATATGGTTGTGTTCAGGGGAAGCTGACAGGGCAGTCTGCCACAGCTGACAGGGAGCAGAAATAGCAGGTACTGTATATCTGACAGGCATATTAGGCTGGTTTTAATGAAAATGTCAGACTGAAAAAGCCTGAACACGACACCTTGAACCGCTTCCCTCTTTACAGAGAAAGTCGATATACGTGGCCAATGTTTATTTTTAGGAATACAAGGCGATGCGTGCTGACAAAGACTATTTCTGCACCGGTGTACGCTTCGAGAATAAAATGACTCATGAAGGCAAAACACTTAAAAGTAAGGATGTCTCAATCCTGAACTCACTTATCAGATTAGAGCCAATATAGGTGCTTTTTGATTGAATGGAGATCAGCAACCATCTCACTTTAATCTTTTATGATATGCAGTTTGCAGCAGAATGCAAATATGCAAGTTAGTATTATAGAAGGACAGCAGTGTGGAAATACTTTAAACTGTCAAACAGCCACTTGCAAAAAAAATTCACAAGTTGGTAGCTGCGGTCAATACTTCCAATTCGATACAACATCTAAAAACTAGACATGCTGCAGATTACTGCATGTTCATTAAAGCAACAGAGGAAAAGGCAACAAACTCTGGACTTAGAAATAAAGGATAAATATTAAGATTACAGAGAAGGTGTTGAATCCACTGCTGGGTAGAATCAAACCTCTGTGCAGCTTTTTACTGTCTTTTAGAGCTTCTGGATCCACAATATATCCTACTGTCTTGCCACATTTCAGACACTGTCTTACTAAAGCTGTACAGCAAAAATTGCAGCAACATATTTGTTGATTTAAAACCCAGGTGGAGAATGCTGTGTAACAACAAACCGGTATCTGCAGCTCTAAAACTTGTCCCTTGTCTCATTGCACGCTGGATTGATGCCTCCACCTCTGAGTCTAAACGTGCAGCGCTGCATGCTCGCCAGTGTCAGGCGTCTCTAGCAACAAAGACATTATCAGCAGATGCTCAATACTGAAAAAATGAAATGTAATCCAGACATCCCTGATTAGAAAGTAAACTTGATAACACCTAAATGCATATTCAGCAAACAAAAAATTGTCTTTAAAGTTTGCAAAGTTGTTGCCTCAGTGAATCACAGCCTGAAACAAGTTAGATTTTTGATAAAGACGTATTATCAACATTAATTTCACCTGACGTCACCTGTTTATTTTATGAAAAGACAAAAGTGTGACAAACGTTGCATATCTTTTGCAGCATTCACGTGCACCATTCCTCACTTTGAACTGCACATTCAAAACAACATATCAAGTTGTGATAAAAATAGAAAACATCCTTTTTCCTACAACTCGATGTGCACTCATTCCTCGCAGCAGGATTTGGTGTCTAAATTTAAACTCACAGATTATAGTGACTGAACTTTCTCAACAAAGTGTCCTTTGTCCCCCTGAAAACAAGTGTTGGAGCAAATCCAGCAAAGTAGGTTTTAGAGTTGCAACACATTTGTTTTCTCCAAGTTTATAGCAGGCTTTAAATTCTACATTTAATTATCTGAAAGTGACGATCTGAATCAAAATAAAACAGAATTAATTTGTCAGTATGTTACGAAAGTCTGTTACTAAGCAGGATAAATACTAAGTTTAAGTAAAACAAAATTAAGAATACCAATAATCCTGAACATTATGATTATTATTATTATAAGTATGATTATTATTATTATTATTATTATTATTATAATAAAAGAGATAACATGACATCCTGCATACTCAGTCCAGGATCTACATCTTTAACAGCATTACTAGTGACAAGAAAGACCATGTAGTGCGCACAAACACCCTGCTTATGAGAAAGAGCCATGCCCTGTTTAGTTGTTCATGATTTTAATATATATATATGTTTTATAAAGACAAGTATTTTCTTGTTTTTGTCAGGTTTGATACAGTTTGTGCCAGAAAAAGAAGCGTTCTTACAGAAGAAAAGCAGACAAAAGTGTTAAATTTGGCCTCAGTTTGGTGTTTGGTTTAAGTTTTGTTTCAGTGACTGCAGTCCCCTGAAAGGTTGAGAGGCTTCACCCGAAGTTTCTGGACTGTTGTCTCCCCCTATTGGTGCAGATTGTCCCTGCTGCACAGACGGAGCGCTGCTGCTGTTGCTGCTGCTGATCCGAAACAGCTCAACACAGAAACACACACGGAGTCAACTCCTCTGAGTGCAACAAACATGATCTGTCAGACGAAACAACCTGAATTCAGTCAGATTATTCTTAACCTACAACAAACCCGAGATGTAAAGTGAATATTTTTTATCTTAAGTGGATTTTACATTGCTCTCATATCGGATCATTTTAACTGTAAACATCTTAAAGGTGTCAGGCGTAAAAGGCTGACCCTGCGTAGAAGTGAAAAGACACAGGATAAAGAAAAACCTGAGGAAAATACTCTGAATGTGCAAAAGAGTCTGATGGTTCTGTTAAAGTATGATAAATACAGTCGAGGAATATAAAACTCTTATAATGACAGTAAAATGCTAAAGTAGGTTTTATTTACTGTAATGTTGAGAATAATCAGGAAACATCTCTGATCAAATAGACCTCTTTGGAAGGATCCTTGGTTCCAGTTTAGTCTTAAAAGCCCACGTCCCTGCCCCTTTGTTTCAGTTTTTCCTAGAGGCTGTGACATTTAACTTTAAGTATTGACTATAAACTATACATTAAAATAAATGAAGGCAAAAAATACACGGGGAAAAACACCTTTTTCCTACTTGAATTGGATTGTTGACTGCCAGGCTCCTCTCGAGCAGAGTCAGATTACGTCTCCGCCTCCAAAAAGTTTCCCCCAATCATTTCCTTGCCGTCAAACATAAATCCAGGCATCGCCTCCTGTGCCTGTAGACTCTCCAGCAATCCTCAAAGAGTAGATCTCTGTCACATTTCTCTCAAAAGCCACAGTTTGAAAGTGGAGCATTAGATGCGATCACTTGCATTGTGCCTTCTTCTCTTCGTGATCTGTGAAAGTCAAAGGAGCGTCACGAACTTTTATTTTTGACTTTTTTTGTTTCTCAACTTCACGGATTCAGGTTTGCCAGTCGAGCTGTGCGCCCTCACAGGCTGTCACTGCAGTCTTTGGGCACCGCACTTGGATTTAGAAAGAAGGATTTTCTCCCGTTTTCACCGCGCTAAAGCTGCTCTTTAATTCTTTCGCATGAATCTCCTCGATCCTTACCTGAAGATGACAGAAGAACAGGAGAAGTGTCACTCTGACGCTCCCAGCCCCAGCATGTCGGAGGACTCTGCGGGCTCGCCGTGTCCGTCAGGGTCCGGTTCGGACACTGAGAACACCCGGCCGTCCGACAACCACCTCCACTTGGGTGCAGACTACAAGAAGGAGGGAGAAGAAGAAAAGTTCCCCGTGTGTATCAGAGATGCTGTGTCCCAGGTGCTGAAGGGCTACGACTGGACTCTGGTGCCCATGCCGGTGCGCGTCAACGGCTCCAGTAAAAGTAAACCTCACGTCAAAAGACCGATGAACGCGTTCATGGTGTGGGCTCAGGCTGCACGGAGAAAGCTGGCCGATCAGTACCCGCATCTGCACAACGCGGAACTCAGCAAAACCCTTGGCAAACTGTGGAGGTAGGTTCGCTTTGCAGTCTTTCTTTCTTTCTTTGCAGTGCGTTTTTTACGCGCCGCTGAGCGTAAAAAACGCACTACTTTTCGATGAAGTAAACGAACGCAGTGTCAGTAACAGCTATGCAGTGTAGAGATTTAATCTTTAACACACTTTTATTGTCGTATTAGAATATTAGAGCTGAGTTTACGCATGGAGTTGAAATAAGTAAACTTTTTGATGACGATAATTTCGTGAAAACCCGAATTGCAGTTTTTTATGTGCACACAAGTTGCATTACTAGTTCAATATATTTTATCTTGAGCTTCAGGTTCAGTGAATGTATTCTCACGTATGTGCAACTCCCTGTGATCATTCCAGATTGCTCAACGAGGTAGAGAAGCGCCCGTTCGTGGAGGAAGCCGAGCGTTTGAGGGTGCAGCACAAAAAGGACCACCCCGATTACAAATATCAGCCCAGGCGGAGAAAATCTGTCAAGAACGGGCAGAACGATCCCGAGGACGGCGAGCAGACCCACATCTCCCCTAACGCCATCTTCAAGGCGCTGCAGCAGGCCGATTCTCCTGCGTCAAGTATGGGCGAGGTGCACTCCCCAGGCGAGCACTCAGGTGAGAAAAAAAGGAAAAACCTACTCTAGTTACTTTTTGTTTATGGATGACTTATTAATTTGTTACTGCATGAGGAAATCAACTCTTTCGATGGCTGTGAGGCCTTCAATATATACCTGTTAATGATTAATATTAATCATTAATGGGTTTTATAGACTTTGATGCAAACACACCTGCTGAAGCCAACAAATTCCTCTTCTGAAAGCATTTGTATTTCACTTCATGATAACTAGTCCCTTTTCCTTTTTGCATGTATGAATTTGTTTATCAGATTGAAGGCCTAACTCCACTTTTCCTCTAACCAGGTCAGTCCCAGGGCCCGCCAACTCCCCCCACCACCCCCAAGACGGACCTCCCCTCCAGCAAAGCCGACCTGAAGCGTGAGGGCCGTCCAATGCAGGAGGGCACCAGCCGCCAGCTCAACATCGACTTTGGAGCTGTGGACATCGGCGAGCTGAGCAGCGAGGTCATCTCCAACATGGGGAGCTTCGATGTCGACGAGTTCGATCAGTACCTGCCGCCTCACAGCCATGCCGGAGTGGCCGGAGCAGCCCAGGCCGGCTACACCGGCAGCTACGGCATCAGCAGCTCCTCAGTCAATCAGGCAGCTAATGTCGGGGCCCACGCCTGGATGTCCAAGCAGCAGCAGCAGCAGCAGCAGCAGCACTCTCTGACCACTCTGGGTGGAGGAGGAGGAGGAGGAGCAGGAGGAGAGCAAAGCCAGCAGCAGAGAACCACCCAGATAAAGACGGAGCAGCTGAGCCCGAGCCACTACAGCGAGCAGCAGGGCTCCCCTCAGCATGCCACCTACGGGTCCTTCAACCTGCAGCACTACAGCACCTCCTCTTACCCCTCCATCACAAGAGCACAGTATGACTATTCAGACCACCAAGGCGGTGCCAACTCCTACTACAGCCACGCAGCAGGTCAAGGCTCCAGTCTGTACTCCACCTTCAGCTACATGAGCCCCAGTCAGAGGCCTATGTACACCCCAATCGCTGACACCACAGGGGTGCCCTCTGTGCCCCAGACCCACAGTCCACAGCACTGGGAGCAGCAGCCCATTTACACACAGCTCTCCAGGCCCTGAGGAGGCCTCAGCACTGACTGTACGACACCCACCCCACCTAAGCATAGACTTCTTTCTGCCAGGTGCCACCTTTGTGCCACACCCGTCATTTGCCAACAGAAAAACATGACATGGACTTTTTTTATAGTACTGAAAATATATCTTTGGATTGGCTCACAACAGTGCCTTTTGTATTGGTTGGAATTGTAATTATATTTTTTTAGATATAATGTTTAAAAAAAGTGAAATCCTCTGTGAGGACATACTGGTTATAAATATTTTAGTATGTACTGTGTATGTGTTCTGCTCTTGTCATCCACATAATCAGCGTCATCAGCATCTTCATCGTCATGATTCGTAAGATTAACACGTTTTAAGGAGCAGGAAAGCCGGGTACGAACACCCTCAGTGGCCTTACTTCACATTCACGTATTTCTTGTACAGAAGTAAGAAACGTCTGTTTACTGACACTGCCGTCTTATGAAAGCCTTCATCCAGCTTTGAATTTTTGTACTGTACATATCTTACTGTAATTCCCATGAGATGCAAGAAACGAGCAACACAGGGTGGAAATAGATTTGAATCTTTGGCCATGAAATGACCGTGTCATCAGTGAATTTGTCAAATATTCTGCTTTTTCTTCTGTGCTTGAGCTCAAATTATTGTTGGAAGCGCTATAGCAGGTGCCATGTAATTCTACTATAGGGGCCTTACTGTGTTGGTAGATGTAACTGAGCAACGCTTGCTTTTATCTGAGTACTGCCTTGATACCATTGGTGCCTCTGGAGCCGCAGTAACGAGGCTCCGTCCTCTGGCATTGCAGTGTCTAAAAAACCATAGCATAGTTCAGACTTCCTGCGTGAGGAGATACAGGAAGCGACCTTTGACCTCTCTCCTCTCTGCAGCCAGCGGCTCTCAAGCTGGCGTGCTTCTTCTTCTTCTCTCACTCCTTACAGCACCGTCCTCTTTCCTAACCTCTTTTTTTTTGTTTGTTTTTTCCTAATTTATTCCTTAGCATTAATTTTATTTGAGAATAACTATTTGCAATTATCATTTTAATTCAGCAGCAGCTAACTGAGATGAAAAGTTTTCAGTGGAATAATTTGCTGCCATATGTGGTACAAATTTGTTTATTTATCATTTGTAAATGTTTCCGTATAAAAGTTTTCTTTATTCATGATCTAGTTATGTACAGATTACTTATAATTACACGATGAGTCTTTCGCTATAAAAAAAAAAGAAAAACTGGAATTTTTTGTCTTTTTTTTTTTCTCTCTCTCTTCCTAACAAATGAATTAATGGATATGGAAGCTGTGCCTGTTTTTTTTGTAAAGAATTTGCTGGAATCAACAGGAGACTTTTTGTTATTAAAAGTTCTGTTCTTCGTTTTGTATTCTGTATCATTAGTTCTCATTTTGTCATCTCCTTAATGCAGTTTCCGTAGGTAAACATGGCATTGTCTTAAAAGCTTATCTTTTGTATTATATTGTTTGCAATAAAAACAAAACACTGAGAAAATACCGGATCATCTTGGGCTGTTTATTCAACACAACTTCCACAAAGTAGTATCTGTTTTTGTTTGATTGTTTGCATCTACATTAAACAAAAACCTCCCGAGTTACAGACGCACTTATCCAGACTGCTTATATCTCACTTATTTTCATGCTTAAGCGCTGTACTGTGACTCATAATTAATCTAAATATGTTACTTCTCTCTGAGGTTTCACCACGGTGAAAAGCAGCAGTGTCAGTCAGCTGTTAGTGTTTATAATGAGAGCTGTAACCAACCAGCTCCTTGTGTGAGTGCACACTGGAGTAGTTTCTGCCAGAGCTGACTGCACTGTAGTATAAAGCAGGACTGATTGATGTTTTTAAATATAAATGGGAAATTTCATCCTTTTTGCACAAGTTTCTATTTATGTTGCATTCAGGAAAAGGCGTCCACCTGAGACAACAACAATGTGAAAACACTGAATCTTTTTTTTTTACATTGTTCTGTAAGCCGACGTTGATTTTCATTTGCGTTGTTCATGATTAGATTTTTTATTTTAATCTAATTTGATCCAAATTTATTCATGAAGCACATTTTAAAAAACACAACAGGTCTTGACCGAACAAGTTAAAACAATCAAACAATAAAATAGAGATGTCGAGTGTTTAAGTGGTGTTAGGATGTTGAAATAGAGAGAGCATCAGCTTGACATTTCACCTGCTAAAACAAACGTGTTGGTTGAACTTTTTTCACCTTTTTAGCAACAGAAAGTTACATCGATTTTGTACTTTTTCAGGAGAAAATAACAAAGTTCTTATTTCTCCTGCCTGCAGATTTAATCCCCATAGTGGGATCAGAAAGCTGAGAGGGTGGTCAGTCATTGTAATAATGCTATACTGAGCAGTTGATTGTATGGAGGCCCTATGGGGACATGCATTGGTGCATTTTCTTTTTGACTTTTTCTTAATAATATGCATTTAAACAGTTTTTATCACTAACTCGTGTCGTTTTTTCTTTCTTGATCTTTGCTAATATTGTCCTTGCTCTGGACAAAAACATCTGCCAAATGACACTGTTGCATGCTAACCTATTACACTTATATCAATCAATCAATCAATCAAAGTTTATTTATATAGCACTGTTCATACAAATGAAAATGCAGCTCAAAGTGCTTTACATTAGGACAAGAAAAATAAAAGTTATTAAAATTGACTAAAACAGACAATAAACTCATTTAACTTGAGACTCCTGCGGCAAAAATGATCTCTGAATTATTTTATTTTTTGTAGTTTAATTCAAATTTCACAATCAAAGCAGGAGCTGCAATGTTCAATAGTTTCAACATACTTATGGCACAAAATGGGCAAAAAATGAATGCATATCATATTCATGTGAGACCAGTTTTAAACATTTTGGCACAAATCTGTTGACAGAATAGATAAATATCAACATGTGTAGTAAGGTAACACCCTTTAATGACAGATAAAACCAAAACACTTAAAGAATATATACCGCTCATCGAGTCTGACTCTCTTTAGCGTCTTATTCAGTGTTCAGCACAGCGCTGATAATTTAATATTTAATATTTGTACAATCTAACCTGGTGGTAAAATAAAAAATAGACTAATGTGAGTTATGGGAAAAAAAGTTTTGTAAAAGTTTTGGTGATGGGAACACTGACTTTGCTTCCGGCTTCTCAGACCATGAGGTCACAGGTCCATTATTACCACACGGCTGATTTAGAAGACGTATGTCCTCCGCACCCCTCCCCCCGCCTGTATACAGCTCAGCTTAAAGAAACAAACTCCATGTTGAATATTGTTTATTCATTACAGGCCAAGTGATACAGAAATGGGGCTGCCTTTAATAAATCAGTGACAGTGTAAACACAATCAGGTAGTATAGCTTTGTGTTGAAATTCGAGGCACATTCACAGATGACGTCTCTTTCTTCACATCGACTGGACTGAACTTTTTCCCGCCACCCACTGCTGCACCTTGACCAGACAGGTTTTTTTTTGTCTTAACTTCACTTTGCTGTACTTCTCTGCACAAAGACTCAAATCATGAATAATGCAAAACAATCTGAGAGACTTAAGATACTGTAATGACCCGGGAGTCATCGAGAGGAAAAAATGAACTCTGTTAATCCCAGAAGGAGGAATCACTTTTTTATTGGCTGATCCTGTGGACATGCATTAATAAAAAGATGCACTCTGAGTCGCTGGGGGTTTGGTTTGCTCATGAGGCCTCTAGAAGTGATCTGGGAGCGAACTGGCACACTACCAGCAACCAGTTTACAGACTTGGTACATAATGGGGCTCAAGCTGGAAACCCTCCAGTTCCTGAGCGACTGTCAGCCCTGCAGATACTGCTTTCAGCCAAATAAGAAAAATCACATAAAACACAGGCTTTGATTGCCTTATTAGGGAAACTGTATTTTCATTTGGTGCATTCTTTAACCTCTTCATGAGCTAATTCCTTGCAAATCCCTTAAAAACATCACATATTTGATGCTCACAGAAAGTCCTTGTAATATTTTTATAGTGCTGTTTAACTAATAATTTCATAAAGTCACAAAAAATTGTCAAACTTTTATACTAAATGGTGATTTATGATATTTAGGATTCTGATATTTGGCATGCAAAACCATTTTTAAGTCGATTTACCTGTAATTATTACAATAGTTTGATTTAACTGTGTATGTAAACATACTCGCTGTCTTACAGGACTGCAATGAAATGATCGAGCTAACTTCACTTACTTGTAACTTGAACTCGAAGTACATTTATCTACTATTTTAATTCCATTTGAGACCAATTACATGTTGTTTTTATCAATCAACTGAGCTGTCTTGGAATAATTTCCTTTTAAAAATCACGCCGGTGTTGTTTTTTTCATCACTGTTGCAGCAGGAAGCAAGAAGAAGCTGCTGCAGCCAAACTACGGTGTCTCAGAGGGACAAATTAAACAAAATAACCCATTCATTCGAAACTTATTTGCACCACGATTAATACATTATTCTTGACAATCCTCATTATCATCCTAGTTTAATTATTTGCTGTTGATTATCCTTAAATCAAACTCCTGTAGCATGTGAAGGTTTAAGCTTCAACCACATTTTTAGTCTATTTTAGGTTTATGGCGATGCTGTATAACGCTGCTTTTGTATACCATTATATCAGCATATTATTAAAACCATAAAGATTCCAGCTTGTGGTTCTGCTCTGGGGTTTGTTGAAAGTGGAACTAAATCTTGAAACGTGGACAGCTGAAAGAGAAGTTACATTATTTCAACACAGAATACCACATGGAATCCACTCACAATCACAGACTAATGACATGGGCTCATACACTTAGAATAGTGATTTAAAACTGGCGTTCGCAGTATGACTTTATTGTTTAAAATCTTGGCAGAATCAAAGATACAGTGCAGCTAAATGGATATAATTATCATTTCAGTATTTTCCTTGCATTTTGCCGTCTGAGGTTGTTTATTGTGCTTTTCTTTGTCTTTTCAGACATGTTTGTTATCTCTGCCTGGCTTCTCCTCCTGTTGGCGCTTACTGTTGTGGTACTTCTGGAAACAGCTGCTAATGAAAACAGTGTTGTATTAACCAAACTGCCGAAAAAAAGAAGAAAAATTGAACATATCGATATGCAGTGATTTTAAACTTGTTGTGGTGACGACAAGATAATGATCTTCCTGCAGGCTTGAGTCTGCTGTCTCTGCTTTAATATGAAGGCCAACCAGAAACCAGAGAGTGTGAAGCCCTAAAGCTGCTCCCTCCTGCTGAGAGCCCCAGGGCCACATCCATCACAGGGTCTCCAGCAGCTCTGACCTGGAGGGAGGCAGCGGGGCCTCAGGGCCTGACAGGGTGAAGGGAGACCGCTTAGATGATTGTGCACGGGGAGAGAAAAGATGAAGTAGGAAGATCTTAAAGAAGAATAATCACAGGATGCAGCGGTTCTATGATTTTCAGAGATTGAATGATAGGATTCTCAAGAAACAGGAGTCTTTTTTTATTGATAAAGACCATTTCACTGTTTTAAGGGTAAAGTAAAGGGCTGATAAATGCTCACATGCCAGGATACCCAAAGAAGTGCTTCAAACTGTGAACTTCGCCAACTAAGAGTTTAGAGAAAATGCAAAAGACAGGAGCTTAACATGTTCAATATGTAAAAGTAATATCCAGAAGATCGTAATGCCTGACACAAAAAATTATGGCCATAAAGTTCAATTGTTTTGGGAGCTGATAAAAAATCAAAATGTCCTCAAAATTTAACAAATATATTTATTTATCTCGTTTGATATATTAGATGTTTTTGGAAACTGATAAACAACAAGAGGACATTTTTATCATTTATCGGACTGTATTCAGGTGTTTTTTTTGATAGAAGTATATAAAAGTATGTATCAAATATGATACAAAAGGCATTAAAGAGTTAAAGAGGTTGAATTATTATTTTTTTTTAACTCATTAGTTTTGATGATCTTGCAGAATTAGAGGCGTGGCTAACTTGATTGACAGGTAGGCATGATGACACCCTCAATCAGGAAGTTCAAGATCCAACTCTGCTTCTTTGTTTCCTGCTGAACCAATGGAAAGTGTTCCCAATATGGCAACCGCCTCTGTGTTTTTCATCTATGTTGTCTAATGACTGTTGGCTCCTGGATTTTGGTAGCCTACAGGTATAACCCAGCTTTGAAAGTTTGAAAAAAGTCTATTTTGTCGACATTAATATGAGGATATCTTTATTCTGTGTGCGGTGGCTTTATCTTCGTTCAACAGCTTTCATGACATGATGGAAGACATCGCCTGAAAGGTTAATCTGGGCCAACATTTTCATTCGACGTTTAAGAAAAAAAAAAAACACACACACCCTCTGCTTTAGTAAACACAGGTCCATGTTCCTCCAGTTTCAGAGAATGAACAGATCAATTCAGCTGAATTGTTTCATTCTCAGCTTGTTGGCAGCGCGCACACATCCCGGGAGTTTACATTTGCAAGTCCAGCTCCTTAAAAAGCAAT